AGCAGGGCCAGCGCCGCAAAGCGTGCCAGCGCGGCGCGACGAGGGAGAGAGACCGGTGAACGCATGGCGATCCTTCGCAGGGGTGGGGTCCTCTGCTTGTACGCAGCCGCGTCGAAAACGGGGTGACACGGCCGACGGCGCCGGGCAAAGAAAAAGCGGCCCGAGGCCGCTGGTTCGCGGGGCGCCGGGCCGCTCAGGCCTTGATATCGAGCAGCGCGCCGGTCGGTGTTGATCTGCGTCTGCAGCACCTTCAGGTTCGCGACGAAAGGCGTAGGCGGCGGACTGCTGCTCCACGATCTCGTTGGCCGGGTTGATTTCCCGAGCCGGCACCTTGTCGACATTCGTCGGCTCCACCGTCTCCCGCGACTGGTTGGTCGCCGACATGCTGGCGATGTTGGCCGCCGACGCGCGCAGACGCTCGTTCGCGGCCGAGATGCCGGTCATGGCGGTGGAGAGGGCGACGTTCATCGGGGGTTCAAAAGTGGAGCGCTCAAGCCGTACATCGGCAGCGCGCAGGCGAACTTTAGAACAAACGGCGAAAAAACCCTCATTTCGGGGGATGGCCGACCGCGCGAGCGTGAAATCAGCCCGCCAGTTCCTCGTAACCGCCCGCGGACACGAACACCCGGACGCTGTCACCGCCGGCCGCCTTGGCCTCGGTGCAGGCCAGCGCGGCCGGCGCCCAGCACGGCGTCGACCGTGCCCAGCGTCGAATGGATCTGCACGACGCCCAGCGACGCCTTCACGCGCGTGCGATGCAAGCCCCAACGCAGCCGGTAACCCGCCACGGCGGAGCGCACCTTCTCGGCAATGATCTGCGCGTAGTGCTGGTCGCAGTCAGGCAGCAGGATGGCGAAATGGTCCTCCTCCAACCGTGGCGACGAGGTCGGACGCACCGCACCTTGCCGATCAACATCTGGCCCAGGCCGTACAGGAAATGGTCGCCCACCTCGGCGCCCATGTCCTTGACGACATCACTGAAGCGGTCCACGTCCAGCCACAGCATCGACACCGGCTCGTTGCGGCGGCTGCCGACATGCTCGTTCAGTCGGCGCTCGAACTCGCGGCGGTTGGCCAGTTCGGTGACGGTGTCGTGCTTGGCCGGTCCAGGTCGGCTGCAGGCGCTGCGCGCGGGCGGCCGATACATCCTCGATGATCCAGAGCGCCTCGCCGTTCGGGGCTTCCCAGTGCACCGGCGTGGCCTGCAAACGACCCCAGAAGCGGTGGCCGTCACGCTTGACGTACTCGATCTCCTCGTCCAGCGGCTGCCCGGCGCCGAAGGCTGCGGCGGCTCGCTCGCTCAGGCCGGTGTGGGCCAGGTCCGTGGTGTGGACGACCCGGGTCGACTGGCCGCTCAGGTCGGCGTCGTCTCCGAAGCCGAACAGGTGGTTGAACTCCTCACTCACGACCTCGAACCGCTGGCCCGACACGAACGCGACCGCGGTCGGCGCCCGCACCATCAGGGCCCGCAGCCGGGCGGCGGTGTTGTCGTCTTGGGAGGCAGGGGCAGCAGCAGTCATGCAGGTCTCCGGGGTCGATCTTCTACACCCGACTATCGCAGGTGTCGTGACTTTCGACCATGACGCACGTCACGCCGTTAGAGTCCACGGCTTCGCCGAACCCCGGCGTCTTCCGAGATCCTTCGATGCGACTGCTTCCGGTCTCCGTGCTGTTGCTGCTTTCCGGCCTCACCCAGGCCCAGCAGCTCAGTGAAATCCCTCAGGGCCTGCGTGATGCGACACCCCGCTGGCATGCCCTCACCGACGTGCGTCTCGTGCTGGCGCCCGGCCAGGTCGTCGAGCGCGGCACGCTGGTGATGAAGGACGGCGTCATCGTCGCCGCCGGGGCCGATGTGAAGCCGCCGGCGGGCGCGCGGATCTGGTCCCTGCCCGGCCGCACGGTGTACGCGGGGTTCATCGACGCCGCCAGCAGCCTCGGGCAGCCGCGCGGCCCGGCCCGGGTCGAACCCGCCCGGGGCAAGCCGCTGACCGCCACGCAACGCTGGGTGAAGGCCGACCTGCACCAGGCCGCCTCGCTCGACCTGAAGGCGGAGGACGTGAAGGCCGCCCGCGAGCAGGGCTTCACCACCGCGCTGTCGATGCCGCCCGGCCCGGGCGTGTTCCGTGGCCAGAGCGCCCTCATCAGCCTGCGCGACGACGGCGACGCGCGCAGCCTCGTCATCACGCCGGACGTGGCGCAGCACGTGGCCTTCGACTACCAGGGCTACGACTGGGAGGCCGGTGGGCGCATGGGCACGGTCAGCTATCCGACCTCGCTGATGGGCAGCGTGGCCCTGATGCGCCAGACCTGGCTGAACGCCCGCTGGCTGGCCGCTGCGCCGCCCCAGGGCGAGC